TTGTTGTTGTTTGCTGTACACACGGTAGGATAGCAACAATGACGTCTCTGCAACACAGTCTGAAGTCAGTTTAAAAACACACTAGCTTTTTAGATATTAAAAACATTCCTGCTGTGTCATTATACGGCGCCAGCATAAGCTAAAGTCAAGATTTTACATTGTCAAGAGGCGATAACTTCAGACAGTATTTTAACATGGATGTGTGCCAGTCAGCATAAATAAAGAACTTGCCCATAAACAATAACTTGAGGAAGCATGTGAAGCAAATATTTTCCAAAATATTTGCAGAAAAGGAAGTTTGCTACAAGAAATTAAGTTCAAAGTATGATTGTCTGTTTAGGATTTTCCATTGATCTCTAACTGCAAAGAAAGGTCATTTACGTAGTTCCTCAAATACTGGTATAATATGGCAACAGCAATCAAAAGAACAGAAATATTTTATATTTTACTTGTTAAAAATTCTGTACTCTCCTCCAAAATCAGGATACTGTGGCCCTTGAAATGCAGTTCAAAGCCTGGTATGACTCTTGAGCTAATAGATGCTGTGCCTTTTTGCCCTAAGGGTACAACCTGATCAACCTAGTCAAGCTAAGGTTAGATATAATGCTTAAAAGAAGATAACAACATAGACACTTAGATAAAAAATCACATAAATGTGATGATGTTACTCAAGACCTCTATCTTAGCAGTCACCTTCCACCTCTTTTTTGATGGCAGACTCATCTGGGGAAAGATATCAGATAATAATCTTAATACATAGAAAGGCTGCTGAAGAAAAAAAAAGCATATAATCCTTCAGCTGTTCTTGGTCTCAAATCTTTCATGACTTCGAAGAAACTGGTAACAAAGAAGGATGCTTAAAAACCTTGAACATATATTGCCATTTTATTGATCCTCATCAAAACCACCCGAGAATTTCAGACAATACTTTTTTCAGATACTTTTTTTACTAGACTAAAAATGGTTGTCAACAATTCAGTTTACAACTTTCAGTTTTGGTTAGTAAACTGGCATGACTTTTTTAAAAAAAAGGCAGACCCTTTGCATTAAATATTTTAAAATAACAGAATTTAAATATTTTTTTAAGTATTGCCTTTTAAAAATGAATGGGAATTTGATTCTTATAGCATCCCCTGTTAATTTAAAATTTTCTTGGTAGCCTCAAGGTCTAATCATCATCACTTTTTAGCTATATCCTGATTGTGGAAGATCTCATAGAACAGTTTAATTTTATATTTTATTACCACTTGCATCAACAGACTTCATATTGCTTTGATTGTACTTATACAAGAGGAACAAATTAATCCCCCTCTTCACATTTTTACTTTTTTCCTTGAGATAGTTGGTGTTCAAGTCAGACAAAGGAAAAATAGTATAGCTGGTGCAGGCAAGTAGGTAACTAAAATGATCAAAGACCTGGAGACTAAAACATATGAAGAATGGCTGCAGGACATGGGTTTGCTAGTCTAAAGAAAAGAAGAAACAGGGGTGACAGGATAGCAGTATTCCAAAATCTCGTGGGTTGCTACAAAGAAGAGGGCATTAACTTATTCTCCAAAGCACCAGAGGGCAGAACAAGAAACAATGGTTGGAAACTGACCAAAGGGAGAAGCAACCTGGAATAAAGGAGAAATTTCCTAATAGTGAAGACAATTAACCATTGGAACAGCCTGCCTCCAGAAATAGTTGGCGCTCCATCACTGGAGGTTTTTAAGAAGAGACTGGACAGTCACTTAACTGAAATGGTATAGGTTCGAGCAGGGGGTTGGATTAGAAGACCTCCAAGGTCTATTCTGTTCTGTTCTATTCTATTCTATCAAATATCAGGGTGCACATGAAAACTTGGTTGCATATTTACCTCTACAAATAGCAGAACTATAAAGCTATAAATTTCAAATGTATAATCAATGAAATTTTTGAAAAACAATGGTCCCTGAAAATTGCAAACATTTTTGCAGAAGAATGTAAAATTACTGAGGTCTAGAAATATGAAAACTTTCTCAAAAGAAGCTATCTTATGAATTTCTCAGTTGTGTGGTACTGAGGTAACATATAACTGTCCAAAACTGGCTTGAGTCAAGTTCAATGTGATTATTTCCCTTCCCAATTTTTATTTTGTTCTTCACTAAAATAATCAACGAAACTGAATAAAATAAAGGTTGACTTTGATCCTGATTGTACTTGGTCCTTCTTCAGGTGCATGGTGGTTCTCCAGCAATGTTTGTATTATTTATTTTAGCAGATGAGGAGATCTGTGAGAAACATTAAGTTCAATTCCCTTACTGACTTGAATAAGTTAGCCTTTGTGCATCTATCTCAGGGCTGTCCATGTACTGTAGGTGAAGTAAACAGTTGAATTTTTATAGCCATTGATAAGCAGTAGATTAGCATTAGTTAATTTTTATAGCCATTGATAAGCAATAGATTAGCGTTAGTTAATTTTTATAGCCATTGATAAGCAGTAGATTAGCGTTAGTAGATTAGAAATGATCGGATCAGAGGACTATATAGAAAGTTGATTCTCTTTTAAATAAATGTTAACAAACTATGAAGGTAAGATAACAGTTATTTTATTTCTTAATCAATATATCTGAACTTCTTTTAATAAAAACAAATTTCAGTGTAAACATGCACCATATACATAGATAATACAAAAGTATTGCACTTAAGAACATTTTTAAAAAACATATTCTATCTCATTCACCCAAGAGAATTATGGGCCACTGATATACATGTGTGCAGCCAGTTCTGGATTATTATATATCAATATTTACTATTTTTACCAAAACAACATTAATTGTTTTGTTTATATAGATGGATATTAATCAGCTGAGGCAAAACTGCTTTTGCAGGTAGAGCAGTCATCCCTTTACATGGTATATGAATACAGAGGAAACAGCACAATAGTACTCTGTTCTTTACTATTGTTTCTCAGTTCATAATTGGTAAGTGTCTGATGAAATAAAGATCACAATAAGTTTAATTATGATCAGACAGAGATTTTATGCTGAGACGAAAACTGTAGGGAATAATACAGTTTCTTTAGATGCAAAACAAGTTTGTGTGTGTGTTGTAACAGGGAACAATACTAATATAATGCATCTGAAGAAAGGCAATGAAATTAGAATAAAAATGGATTATCATTCTCTCCTTTCTAATACCTCCTTTATTCCCTCATTCCTTCTGACATTTACTTTTCTCTTCCTTGCCAGTCATCAGAATATCAGAGAACAGAGTTTATTCTAAACAGAAGTCTGAGCTCATCATTTGCAAAGGCCTTTTGAAATTAGATCAAAGGCCAGATGAAATTAGACCAAGGGCCAGAGGTTGCCTGTCCTTAGTTGAGTGATTATGGGCTTCCTCTATTTATTTTAAACAGCTTGTTTAAATATTCCTCTGCAAAAGTTCTTTGATTCGTACAAAGCCTCTGTTACTCTAAAATAATAGCAGTTTAGCCAATGGATAGGATTTTTAGAAAACAGGTGATAACACCTAGTTAACCTTGGCTGATCTTGAAAAGTCAAACAAGGTCAGACTTGATAATACTTGGACCACCAGGAATCCCAAGACTGTGGGCTAAACTCAGAGAAATAAAATAAGACAACTTTCTTCCAGCTACTCAGTTAACTCTGGAAACTGATATTTTTCAGAGCCTTCTCTGAAGAATATATCAACAGTTACAATTCCATTTAACTCATTTCTTGATTGCAGAAAATATACAAAATGTTCAAAGGATTCTAGCAGCAGAAAGGGATAGAGCTTTGGAGGGCTAATTTTTTTTCTCTGTGTCAATTTCGATGACAACAGAAATGACATAATGGTTTTTGGTTTTTGTAGAACAAACAGTAGGATTAATGGAGCAATTGAAACTAGGACATCTGATGTTAGACACAGCATCCATAAACCAAGCAAACAGAAGATAAAGACATACTGAAAATATAAACACTTCTGTAAAACTTAATGCAGAATTTTTACTGTTCGCACATATACATTATTTTGCCAAAACCTGCAGCTGCAAATAAATGCACCTATTTTCAAACCACAAATATATTTTGATTTTTTTTAAGGAAAATACTTCAGTCTTATCATTACATAATCTATAGATTGGAGATCATTTTGGATTTGGCCCAATTAAAAAAATACAATCTATAAAAATCAAGTTAAGAACATTCATGAATCTGCTTGCTGTACTGAAGTGATTCAATGGGAGAGATCACCCAAGCTTCTAAGAGTTGCTGGAATTGTTCTTATATGCATCAGAATTAATGTCACTGAATTGTCACTGTCAGAGAGCAGAAAATATTTCTGCTGGAAGATATACAATTCTTGATTACCTGCACCTACAGGGAATCACAGGAGCAAAAGTAGAGAAACACATTTGTTGTTTCAAAAAGGTTTTGAACAAAATTGATGAAGATCCTTTGCAAAAATTAATCTGCTAGCCAGATGTCCCTTAGTGAGTTTAGGAATGATTTATTTAACTATACATCTCCAAATGTTTAATTCTTCTGAATAATCCATCCATTCAAAGCAAACATTAACTGTATAATTTTGAACCACAGAACTTTTCTTGGAAAAGGTTGGGGAATTATTTTTATTTCTTAATCTGATTTAGTTTACATGGAATTTTTTTATCAAATCAAATTTACCAATTGGTTTTTCACTTGGCTTGCCTTTACAGTCTATGACTTGGGCCCCCTGTTGGAAAGAACTGGATTATATTACTAGAATTCATCAGTACAGATAATCTATAGCAGTGGTTCTCAACCTGTGGGTCGGGACCCCATTTGGGGTCGAACGACCATTTCACGGGGGCTGCCAAACAACGCAGTCTGCCATTTTTTCCCCCTTTTCCTTAGCTGTGCTACTCCCTTTTATTCTACTGGCTTTTGAAAGCCAATAGAATAGACTCTCTTGAATAGAGTCTAATTCTATTGGCTTTCAAAAGCCAATAGGAATTGTCCAGGCTGTCTCTGCCCTGCTGAGCCCGCCAAAAGTCCCATTCTGCAAACAGTGCTGCACCAGTTGAGTAGTCCTCGACTTACAACCGGTTGAGTAGTCCTCGACTTACGACCGGTTGGGGGGTCTCGGCATTAAAAAGGTTGAGAACCACTGATCTATAGAGATCCAACACTTCTCCTTTTTGGCTTCTGTTTTCTCCCTAGAATACCATACTTTTCCTTACAATCATGATATTGCAAACAATTTTAATCTGTTATGTTCATCATGTAGAGTCATTAAATAAATGGAAATTTCTATTTCATGCTTTTGTATTGAGGCTCACTTTCAAGCTCTTAAATTTTATAAATTTTATAATACATTTACTCCTACAAAGGAATATAAAATATTGCTTCTTTCCAAACATTTATAATTAATATATGGAATGCAAAGGATATATTTATTCTATTTACAAGTGAAACCAAAATATTTCAGACCCTATTTTTGGTAGATGCCCAGAGTACAAAAGGTAGAAGATAAATACTTGTGTGTCTTACTTTCAAGAAATATTTTGAAAGGCTAGTTTTGCTTTCTGGAGGTACTTTAATACTACCCATAATATTGCTTGCCTCCCTGAGCCAGTGTTTATAAAAGTTCCAATCTTAGGGAGATGCCTCAAGATTTTGCCAATATACAGTAGAGTTGAACACTGTGCCAAGTGTTGTTGGCTTTCCACCTCTGCTCCATTTGGATTTATGACTGCTTTTAATGTACGCAGTAATTTCACTAAGAATCAGTTCTGAAAAACTGAAACAATTCTTTTTCATTAGCTCTTTTTGGACGGAAGGTTGCTCATCAGTTCTGAGGCAGTAGTGTTTTCTGTCATCTATGTTCTGAATATGTAGAATATTTGCATAGGTCCAATTACAGCTATTTGGCAATCTTGATCCAAATTAAGGTTCCTGGTAACATGAACCCAAACTCTTGATCCGGACACTCATTTTCTATGTATCAGTAGTCTTGTCATTTGTTAGATGCACTTTTTCGGCCATGTCATCTCTAGGAGGCCTGGCTCTGTCAAAAAACCCACACTGGAACAAAACAATACAATATAAGTAAATTGGAAAATCAACCATCTGATTACTATAACATCATCTTTCCAAATTTCAGACTACCATTAGGACTTGACTAAATATGCCTATGCAAATCTGAGCATCTCCGGATATATTGTAATTCTCATAATAATTGGAAAGGGAGTTGCTACTCAAAACATCTGCACTTTTGAAATTAAGCCATTTTGATACATTATGTTTTTTTTCCAAAATAGTAAGATAATATATCAAACCAGCTTAAAGTCAGAACTGCTTTTTGCATGTAGAGAACTAATTCAAATGCTATGTAACTGATGTAAATGCTATGTAATTTCCTATTGTGTGGAAATCCTATCACTATTGCAATAAGAACTTGTTAGCCTTTCATAAGGCCCTAAACATCTGATTCTGTTCCTGATCCTGGGGTGCTGAATATGTCAAGGTCCCCGTTTCCTGGTTTTACTGCTACGTGGCCAAGTATCTTGGCTGCTATGTATATTTATTTTGGATGTTTTTATTGTTTTGTATTGTTTTAAAATATTTTAGTGTTTTAACTGTAATATATTTTTTGAACTGTAAGCTGCCAAGAGTCATTGACTGAGATGGAGAACTACAGGAATTAAACAAACAAATAAACTTTCCAATAGCATCATGTATTCCCAAGAGCATTCAATTTATCTGAGAATAAATCAGGGAATAAATCTACTGAATGTAGCAGTGTTTACTTTTGAGTAGACCTGACTGAGAATCTGTTGAACATCTCAGAAATGGATTATGATTGAATTTAAAATAACAAGGATCACCTTGGAACAAGTCTGGTGTTGTGGAAGAAAGATGGTTTGATATAATGGTTATAATGCTGGCCTAGAAAGAAGAGGCCTCCCTTAGGTATAAAAGCTGGCTGGGGGACTTTAGGCCAATCATGGCCTCTCAATCAACCCACCTCACAAAGTTTTTATAGACAAAATAGGAGGTAGAAGTATTAAGCATGTTCATTGCCTTGAGTTGATGACAGAGAGATGATAAAAATATAAGATTAACCAGCTTTATATCTCAATCTTGTGGATATCCTTTTTAGCAGCTACATCCAGACACTTATAGTAATTGGAAATGATGTTAATTTTGCAGAATGATACCTACACAGAAGGATACTTTGGTACAATTATTTAAGACTGGGGAGTTAGGCTCTCTACAATTTTTCATTCTCCCAATGTGAAATGATTATGAGAATATATTGCTTTATAAAGGATATAATGGTGAAAACTAAGTATTCAATATCAAAAATAATGGTGACCATGAATCATTCTAACAGGCAGATCAAAAAACTGGTGAGTCTCTACTGTGTATTGTTGGTGAATTGCTATTTCATACCAAGTTGTACTGTGACTGATCTGTTTTCCAACAATATAAGCAACGGGGCATATAAAAGCCTAATGTTGAGCAAGAGCTAGTCTAAGTAATGGATTATCTATCTAGATGAATAGCTCTGAGCAACTCAGTCTAGGACAGGTGAATGGAATGGAATGCATTTTTTTAAAAAAAAAAATATTTCTCTACTTTGCATGTCAGAAGCAGGCATGAATAACCTGTATCTCACTGCGCAGGATAAATCTCATCCATCATGTCTTCTTGACAGAATATCACTCAGAAGTTTTTGATTACTGTCTAAGGAAACTGCATAACATTACATTTAGAATAATCCAGCACAAAAATCAAACTTGAATTTAATACAAAAGATCACTAACATCAAGTTTTAAACTAAGTTCATGATCCTCTGAAACTTTATTTTCTTTGTTAAAATATAATCTTTTGAGAAAAAGTTTAATTTCTTAAGACAAGCATAAATACAATCATGTATTGTATATAGGCTGCATATATGAGATGATTGCAAGTCTTTAATGATGTAGTAAAAAATTAAACAGACTCTACCAATTTTAACATAAGATCACATGCAGTTTTACAAAACAATATTTGTTTTCCTGAAATACTACACGTTATAAAAGATAAGCTCTTGACAATTAAAGTGATGCTTCATTGTCACATTCTGCAGAAACCTTGACTTGCTGGACAAAATATAAAGGTCTTGGGAATCGCAGCTGATCTTACAATCTGACTTATACCTAGCCTTTAATAATGTATGACTTTGAAAACAAGCTTTTTTCTGAAGATTAGCAACACAAACATGTCTGCTCTCCATTAGAAATGACACACCAGTCTCATATATCTATAACTGCTTTGATGAAAAGACCAGATTCTTTTCTCTCCTCCCTCCAATTCCCAATTTTGTTCTGTTAATATCCTCTCTATTTTAGGTCCAGTATATAACATACCTTCCATAAAGCTAAGGTCAACATAGCTAGAACCAGTAGTCCAAGAAGTATTGCCAATATTATAACCCACAATGGGATTATAAAAGAAACATTTGGAGTAGCCCAAATAACAGATGTTTTTATCTGAAATGAAACATGAAAGAAATTAGTAAAGATAAATGAAGAAAAAAACTCGTCTCTTTTTCTGAATTTCAATTGCCTAATGTGTAAAAGGCAGTGGAGTAGCATTTCTGAAATTAGGAAGGAAGGAAGTATGGCACAAAATCCTCTCTACCCCAACGGTCCCTCTCTAAGAAGCGTGTTTCATTCTGTCTAGCGGTCAGGGTGCCCCCTTTCCCCTAATCTTTGTATACTTAGGTCACTCCTAATGCTTATTAGGAATGATTTTTACAAACTTTTACCTAAACACAGTTTGTCAACTGAACTGGCACTCAGGAAAATTTAGGTACATAGAATAAATAAGTTTATTAGTCAGACCCAAAGGTGCTCTTAAAAAAAAAAAGTCAACTGAACTTTGTTTTTCCTTGAAGATGTTTTGCTTCTCATCCAAGAAGCTTCTTCAATTCTGACCGAATGGTGGAGACTGGAAGGATTTATATTTCTTGCAGGAATTGCTTGACCAATTGATAATCAGAACTGAAGAAGCTTCATGGATGAGAAGTGCAATGTCTGCAAATAAAAACAAAACAAGTCCAGTTTCCTTTATTAAAAAAACAGTACTTTTGGGACAACCATGACCTCGATAACTGAAAATCTCCTTAGACATTTATTAATCAGAATTCATAATATAATCCAACTCAATGTATCTGTGTTCTCTTGGACAATTGTATAAATAAAATCCAAGTGTGGTCTCAGACAGTTCATATTGCTCCAAACTCTTTCATAGTTTGAGCAAAAAATGCCTAAAAAGTTTTTTTTCTTTCCTTCTTTACAGAAAAAAAAATGAAATTAAAATAAGGACTCAGGTGCAATACCTTTTTATGTCATATGAAAGAGCCAACAGTTTTACAGAATGATAGGCATTGTTCTGTTTAGACACCCTCAAATATTTTAAAAAATTGAAATATAATAAAAATATATAATCCTTTAGCATCATTTTACTCTATTTTGATTTAATAATGACCACAAATGTTGCCCTAAATCAATCCATCTAGTAAAATCTTTGAAATTCATACAATCAGAGGAAGATTACAAAAGGAGAAATATATTTTTCTTGATCCCTTCATATTTTCCAACTTAAGTTGAATGTGAATGCTGAAAACCTCCATGGTTTAGTGGAGGCAAGTATTGTAGATGTAAATATTTGAATTTTGATCATGTATTGAGATGAGTTATCTATGGCTAAATTATTGATCTATAATGTACTCTAGAATATGAAGGTCTGGAAATCTGCAATTTAGGTAGTCAATTATAACAATGGATTCCATTTTATCTGTGGCAATATAGAGAATACCAATCATCAGATGGATATTATCAGATGCCTATTTTTTATGAATTTAAATTGAGACTGATGCTGAAAAGAACTTTGCTATGGCTCAGACTGACTATTAAATGTCAAGGAATGGGATTCCACCATCTTTTGTTCATTGAACTAATAAGGATGTCCCTTACTTCCTTAGTGAAAATTGATTCTTGAATCAATGGCTTCTTTCATTACTCAGTCTCAAAATATTAAAGATGTGATGCATTCAACACTGATGATATTGTGGCTGTCCTTAATGTTTATACAATGTCATTATCAAAGCTTACTGAAGTAATAAATAAAATGGCTTATATATTGGTTATCCCATTAATTGAAAGAAGTCTACTTTGTTACTCTATCTATAGAATGCCAAAAGAGATTAGAATTTAAAATTTGTAAAAACTTACTAAAATACTTGGGTGACATGTACCTCAAAATATATAATAGTGTTGAATTAAATATGTCTATTTCAGTATATATAACTGGCTAGTTTAACCTTCCACTAAGCTTAATGTTATCAAAATAAAATTACATCAAGATGTAATATAAATTTTAAGAGGGATTTCCGTGTTAATTCCTATTACTAATACATATAACTAGTTAGTTTAACTTCCCACTAGGATTAATATTATCAAAATAAACATTACATCTAGATGTAATATAAATTTTAAGAGGGATTCCAATGTTAATTCCTTTTACTGTAGATACTTTATAGACATAGATAAGTTAATGAGAGTATCTTTGTGGCAGGCTAAAGTTCCTTGAATGTTTGGCCAAACTGAGTTGGACTCTGCAAAGCCTCCTAGAGGTGCCCCTCCGTCACTTCCTGGTCACCCCCCAACACACTCTTGCCTGTCTGCCCCCATCTGACATCTTCTTTTTATAACTTGGGCCCTGTCCCCTCTGCATGAGAACCACAGCTCTGGAGCCACCCAATTGTTCGGTAAGCGCAGCCCCTTTAAAAAAAAACTTGCAGAGCAGCCACAGCACTTTAAAAAAAGATCTTGCATTGCATGCTGCCCATCCCACAGCCCCTGTGATCACCCTGCCCATCACCAATTGCATGCTGCCCTGTTTCTGTCTGCCCCTCCAATTGGCTGGGGCCTATTTGTCCTGTGCAGCCAAAGGCCTGGATCAAACAGAGTCTGGGAGAATGGGCAGGGACAAAGAGCGAGGGATGAAGGGCCAGGGACCCATGGCCATGGAGGATGGCCAGGGGAGATCCAGGGAGGAGGAAAGCTGGCTGTAAATTGGCTGAGGTGGTGGCTGGGAGCAAAGCGGGCATGGCCAAGGTGCCTAAACTTCCTAGACCCCATTCAAGTATAGTACACAGAGATCTTGATTTCCAGTCCTGAAAACTGTCAGCCACATTTGATTATTAGTAGTATAAACAATGATATTTTCATTCCAAATCATATGAGAAACTGACGTTGTGGAATTATCCAAATGTGAAAATAATCTATGTTATATCTTTGCTTCAAGAGTTGCAGTGGACTTTGATTTCTGGATGGAATTCCAGAAATTCTTATTTAGAAATCCCTTCATGACATGGGTTCAGATTACTGGAAGAACTTGCCTCTACTTGTTCAATCTTGATCAGCAGGAATGACATTGAGTCTCATTGACTAGAGAGAACCATCTTGTGGGATGCAGGAAATACGCCTTTTCTATCACAGCATTTGTCTTCTCAAATATCACATTACCCAAAATTATGTTAGTCCCAAAGCTGTTTTCAGAAAGCATTTAAAACTTGTTTATTTTACCTGGCAGGGGAATCAGGAAGTTAGTTAAGCTGGGGGAGAGGGGAGGTTTAATATTGGTAATCACATTTTAAAGCATATTGAATTATATAGGAAAATTAAAAGAAATTAAAACCCAAAGAAACATTTTTTAATCCATATTTTAGTAAGATGTTGTTATTCCAATATCCTACATTATACAGGTAATTGCCGAGTTATGAGCATTCCCTTAACGCTTGTTCAAAGTTACATGATGAGTGCCCCCTAGTGCTTACAAGCAAGTCCTGAAGTTACAAATATTGCAGCACCACGGCAGTCGTTTGCCCTTACGAGCGACCGCAGTGGCTCTGCAACATACACCCTGGTTATTTCCTCCTCCCCACCCCCGCCCAGGTCTCCCTAGGCACCAGGCCTTCAATACTCACCCTGCAAAGATCGAGATCCTTCACTTTCTTGACTGCTCCAGGCTTTTGGTGCATTTGCAGAGAATGGAGACCTAAAGTAACACAATATTATGTGAGATCAGTGGGGCGAGATCGCACACTACTGATCTCATGTGATCTCATGGTACTTTAGGCCTCTATTTTCTGCAATAGAGAATGGAAGCAAAGCTGGGGGATGCTTCCACATGCCTCTGGAGGTTGGATTGGGGCTCTGGAAGTGTTTTCCAGGCTGCTGTGGCCCAGATCTGAGGCCGAGGAATGCTTCCACACCCTCTGCAACCCAATCTGAGTTCCGGAGTCCTTTTTCAGGCTGATACCGCCTGGATTTGAGGCTGGGGAATGCTTCCGTGCACCCCCTGCAGCCGAATTCAGCTCTAGAGGTCTTTTCCAGGCCACTGCGACCCAGACCTGATACGGGCTCCGGAGGCCTTTTCCAGGCTGCTGCCACCAGTATATAAGACCAGGGAATACTTCTGTGCCCCCCGCGGCCCAATCAATACTCCGAAGGTGTTTTCCAGGCTGCTACCACCCAGATTTGAGGCTGGGGAATGCTTCCGTACCCCAAAGCATTCCCTGGCCTCAAATCCGGGTGGCAGCAGCCTGGAAAAAAGCCTCCGGAGCCCAGATTGGGCAGCAGGAGGTATGAAAGCATTCCCTGGCCTCAAATCTGGGTGGCAGTGGCCTGGAAAAGGCCTCCAGAGCCTGGATTGGGCTGCAAGGGGATGTACGCAAGTCTCCCCTGGCCTCAGATCCAGGCAGCTGCAGGAAACGTGGCAAAGAGGAGAAGGATCTTTTCCAGATGAGTCCAACATGGCAGGAAGGCAGGGGGAAGCATGCAATATCTTAGTAGGTTGGGGAGGATTTGGGGGTCTGTTCCATCACTAGGCCCTCCATGGCCTTCCCCACTCTGAGATACCTCATATTCGCTTAATTAGTCGCATGCGTTTTAATGAGCAAGGAAATGATCTTGTTCGAGATACAAGATTTACTCTATGAGTTTTCGAGTTATGAGTGGAATGGACAGGCTCCATTACACTCATAATTCAAGGACTACCTGTATTTCTCTATGTGTGCACACTTATAAATATAGTACTGTGTTTCACCGAAAATAAGACCCGGACTTCTTTTTTTTTTTTTTTTTGCCTCCAAAAGAGGTATCAGGTCTTATTTTCGGGGGGTGTTTTTTCTACTCACCTTGCAGCAGTGGCACCAATAGCCCGGCCTACTTCTTCTGCGGCCAAAAGAGCAGCTTCATTCTGCAGCTGAGAATGGAGTTCCGCCTGCATTTTGCAATTAGAGGCCTCTCTGGAAGGTCTATATAGCTGAGAACCAAGCTATGGATTGAATCCATAGCTCGGTTCTCGGCTGCAGAGGCCTTCTGGAAAAGCCTCTGACTGCGAAATGCACCCCATGGGATATTGCAGAAAAGAAGAGGCAGGTTTAAATTCATGGGAGGCCTGGTAAGTGGGTGCGGGCCAT